GTGTGTGTGTGTGTGTGTGTGTGTGTGTGTGTGTGTGTGTGTGTGTGCTGACTGCATAGCTGCGTAGCTCAAATGTCAACCCACTTTTCTTTTCCTTCTCCTTCTGTGTTACAGGACCACACTTTAATCTTGGTGCAATCCATAATTTTTACGACAACATGGGATTCCTTGGTCCTCTCCCCCCCAAACCCAAAGGTACTTTATCTATTGGTAAGTTTAGAGGAGGGTGCGTGGTCCTGCCTGGGCATTCCTTCTTCCGTTGGACACGTTCCTTACATTTACTGCATCAGTATTGGCTCCTGTTATAATCCTATTTATAGGCTATATATTTATGTATTTCTTCCATTTGTTACCCCATGTGCTGAAGGCCAGGCACACGGTTGTCATTTGTAATATCCACTCTTCATTCTTTTATTAATCTATTTATTGCATGACAGTGGTTGCATGTTTCAATAATCAGTCCCAGACCACCAGGCTCAGGCACCGCTTCACACCGCAGGCCGTAGTTATTGTGCATATTATAATAAAGAACCCGAAACTAGAGTATCATGAGACAACATTCCGATCAGCTGTTGAATACAGAGTGAACAACACACCTCATCAGCTGTGAGAACAGCTGGATACACATCTGCACAATGAGGGATGCCTATGGATCAAATTGATTATTTTCCTTCTTTACATATTGTCAATCAAAGCCCGACGATCAGCTCAAGATGTTGGTTTAACCCTGATTCTGACTGGCTGACGACTCATTTCTTCTCTTCCCCCCTCCCCCTCCTACCTGCTCCGTGATCTTTTTTTTGTTTTCCACCCACCCATCCATCCGCCTACCCCCTCATCCGTTCATCCCTTCCTCTGTCTCTGCTCGGCTCCATCACTACCTGGGCCAGACGGGAGAGGATGTAGATATAATGTGACCTCTGAGCTCATGATGGAGCCCTCCTCTGCTCCTTCCCCTCCTCTCCCACTTGGTTGGTATCTCTGTCCTCGCTCCTCTTGTTTCATTCTTCCACCCTTCATCGTCAGCCATGTACCTGTGTCTTCAACGAGCTCTGCGTGATTATTTATGAGTAGAATGAGGACGTTAGGAACTGTTATCCTTTAATGCCCAGTGACTGATAATCAGATGGCTGCAGTGCATGTTAACACATTTTTGGTGGATAAACTTGGTGAATTGCACTTCTTCTTCTGTGTCATGTCCTCCTCCTCCTCTTCACAGACCCGGGCAGTAAGATTGTGAAGCCCATCGCAGACCAGGAGGAGGACGAGGGGCTGCAGTGGAACTGCACCGCCTGCACCTTCCTCAACCACCCCGCCCTCAACCGCTGTGAACAGTGCGACTTCCCGCGGCACTTCTGAGCCAACGAGGCCTCGACGCGCCGCCGCCGCCCGGCCAGACCAGAATAGAAAAAAAAGGGCCTCTCTGTTTCTTCTGTTTCACTCGTCGCATGAAAACTCGAGACGCCGTCGGGCATCATCCGTCCCGTTCTGTTCCTTTCTTCCCTCCTCTCTAAGGTTTGTAGAATGCTGTCCACTGAAGGCTTGACCGGACGGTGTTTACGGCACGTGTTTTTCCACAAAGGCCGGCAGAGTCGGATGATACCTCGCCTTAGAGACTCGGATGCCGCGGGGTCGAGTCTGCTCAACGGGTGACACTTTTCCCCCGGGGATACCTCGCTGCTGCCACTTCCAGTATTACGAGTGTGGCCCTGCAGTGTGACGGCACACATACACGCACACACGCACACACACACGCACACACACACACACACACACACACACACACACACACACACACACAC